CCGACTGCATCCTGGGTGAAAAAACAATTGAAAGGGTTTTTTACCAAAGAATTTATCAATTTATTTGAAATTAGTTTGTTTACCTATTGTTTACCTCTTCACCCCAGGTTTGATAAGGAAGCTAATGAGTAAATATGTAAATATGAGTCACCTATTTCACTCGGGGGAACAATGAAGTTCCTATTAGTTGGGGCCCCCTACCTTGGGTGTTCCTGGTGGTCAGCTCCTTATAAAGCTTAACCATGGAAGTATGAAAGCGATAAAAAGCAAAATAATCGTTCCAAAGGGTAACGAGCTGGGACGGCTTTCATAGGTCAGCCCCCAAAACCCACAGTTTCGGATCCTTTTCAATTTTGTTTTCTATTCTATTCAAGAGAAGTTTTTATGGTAGCTGGGCATTTGATAGGTTACCTTTTCCCACAAAAGATGTAAAAAGGCAGTCATAAAGCGCGTGTCTTCGGAAGGTTCCCGTTTCCACCCACTAAAGAAGAATCTCATAAGCGCACAGAAAGGCATTGGTGGGCGGCAAATAACAGCTCTTTATAACCGGCTGAGTAACCCATTGCCTTTGAAAGACGTTTGTCCTAGACGTTATAAGATCGAACTCTCATGTAGCCTTTGAAGCAGTGGATATACTGGGGAGACGGGCGTTAGGAACGATTTAGCGTAATCGATTCGCCGCACGCGGGTGTCGCAGACCACTCATTCGCCATTATTACAGCTCTAGCGTTTTTCATACAGCTCAATCGATATGCGATCATTATTTTATGCATAATTCTACTATTAGTACTTTTGTTCTTGTATTTCTTACCCACTGCTGCATCCAGCTGCATTCCTTCGCGCGCGACGCCCCTCTCACCGCGACGCGACCATTTCGTTCCTGCTGCACCACAACCGATTCCTCGAGTGGATGCCACTAACGTCTTCATTCGACCCCACTGTGGACCAGTGAAGATGTACGATAAGGGAATAAACGCGCCACACCCGATATACTGAGAGACTGAGAGAATCTAAGAATTGGATATTCCCTTGTGAAGCGTTTCCTGTCAAAAGAAAGGGTCGTAGTAATGGAAGTAGGAGTTAATTTTTTTTTCTTCCCATTGAATCAACCTTTTCTCTACGGACATTTCCCAAATCAACTTTTGGGAATATTACAAGATGCTTGACACTGCCACCTGCAAATGGATGGGTTGCGGTAACTGACCCTATTCCAAACTTCTGGAGCGCTCATGAGCGGTCGCTCCAATTCTTATTATTTCTTCCAATTCCAATTATTTAATCCCTCACTAAAGTAATTGTGAAGTTAGGGCTTCTGCTGGTTTCCCTATAAACAATGGTTCAGTTACTCATAAAATGCTCTTCGTTCTTTTATATTCGAAAAAAGAAAGGCACTTGTGACAGTCAATTCTACCGTGATGCGCCATAAACATTTGGTCCACCAAAAACGCTGAAGAAAGGCTAGGTTACGCAAAAACCTGTATATTTCTCAGTAAGAGTCAAACAAGTCGGCCAGGTATAATAACGCTGCTACCCTTCTACATTCTCGCACCCCTAAACATGAGTTGAAGGGGCCTGGCCCCTTCAATTCATGTTTAGGGGTGCGAAAATGTAGCAGGGTAGCAGCGTTATTATAAGAAGGGTCCAGAAGACCCAAGACTCCGTTGGGGGCGGGTCCCGTTTGATTTGTTTGTTTATTAAAAAAGTCTCGATGACATTGAAAATAACCGGTGATATTATTTGTCATTTACATTGCGAACCCGTTTCAATGTGTGCCGATGCCCTTGATCGAGCTTTGGTGCTCGCCAATATCCGGATTCGTTGCTCATCAGACAAAGGAGAAACAAAACATCATGGGCGTTTGGCATTTCGCCAAAATGGAAATGTGAGTGTGAATGTATGACCAGTGCTGAATTTCCTAGGATTAACTGCGCTTCCAGACCGTAGCGTTGACATAGGATGAAGGGGTAGGCTCATAATTTGTTTTTATTGCTTCATCCGGTTCGGTTGATATCGGAAGCGATCTGTCCCTGAAGGAAGGATCCTTTCGAGGTGTGTGCTGAGATTGGTCGATTTTGACTGGAAAGTAGATTACTGTGAATAAGATGGTTTGGAAATTGGGGGAATGCGTCATGAGTCAGTTAAACTTTTCGGGAAAGAAGGTGATAGTGGGTGTGCGCCGAAATGGGCGGAGTTTTTCCAAAAAGGATGTGACTTTGATTCAGATTCCGTGAAAAGAAACCATAAGGGAATAAACAATTTTCGATTTTGGAGTTTCCTTGAGTACTTGTTGGTATTACCAGCTTTCCCACCAAATGCGAAAGGGTTAATCTGCAAATATTATACATTGAACAAGCAGCCAGTTAAGGATAATATAGTCCGATGTAGTCTCAGTCAGGGTACTGACTGAAATCATTGGTTTGTTATTATCTTCTGCTGTATAGACGAGCGGTGGCTTTTATGGAGCCTGTATTTGAGCAGAAAGGCATCATTTCCTTGAACCGAAGAATAAGCCAAGAATGGAGCTGGAGCTGTTTGGAGAAGATGGAGAACATACATGTTACAGTGGGAAACTTTCGCCTTTTCTTTTCATAATTCAAGTAGCTCCATTACTTTCGAGTAGCTGTCTCTCATAAGCCGGTCATTTTCTTGGTCAAATAACTGATGCTCGAGCTACTCCTTCTCCAGACTGTAACATATCCGAAAGAAAAAGTTGGAGCAACTCGTGCCTGGTTAACCTAGGTTTTAGCTCATTTATATTTCGTCCATAAAAATCCACTTACGGATTGGAAAAGTTGAAACTCCAGAATTTTCCTGTTCCATACATCAAACATAAACTGCTGTGCTGGGTAGATTATCGGTTTTCTTGTTTCTTGATTTGCATGTGGTGATGAATCTCCCTTGGGGCTCTCTTGATATCTGGGAAAGTGTGGGAGCTATTTAAAACTCGAAGTAAATCGATATTTTCTGATCATTAAAACCATTCTTATTTCCTTTGTTTTGTCTTGTTGGTCTAATATTTACCCGCTTTCACCAATTGATGTTTCAGCAAATGTAGGAAAAAATATTTTGAATTATTTCGGAGAGACCCGACTCTATTCTACTCACTACGGGACTTTTTCATTCGTATTCATGACGCATTGTCACCATTGCAGAATATGGGCTATAAACACCACCGAAACTAGTAGTTAATGCGCCGTTCTGCGAAGTAAAGTTCGCTAACGACCTTCATTAGCTGCTAAACTTCTGCGTAGAATCAAAATCTTTATTTTTTCTTATCCCATACGAAGCCGAAATTTCCGCTTGTAGGATTCGATATGAATGGTTACTTCTGTATACTTTTGTCACTAATGCTTTTGGTTATTCTGCAGATTCTGACCTTTTTTCAGTTTTTTATTGAAACATTGCGAGCGCCCTCAGAGGTACGGTGTTATGGGGTTCTCTTTTTGATCCTGTGATTCAAATTTCAAAATGAGGATCTCATGTTTGGAAGGGGATCTCGCAGAAAAATTCTCACACTACTCCATGAACGCTGGGCAATTCAAGTATTTTTCACTATACGAATGATTTACTAGATTTGCATTAGTTATTCACCTGATTACAGCCATGAAATCAGGCGTTCGCCGTGTTAGGACCTTCCAACTCTTCGAATTCGAATATAAAGGTCTGACGCGATGAACTGAATCTGGTACGAACAGACCTGATTGTAAGTTCCGAAATCCCATGTCGGCTAGGTAGATAAACTCGAGCTAGAACTTGTAGATTTATTTGAAGCCCACCCTAAACACTCTTTCACTTGCCCTTCTCATGGCACGCTGTCAGATTGTCGTTGGAACTGGGCGATATTGGCCCTCGAGTGTTGCATGTATGTTATGGAAAAGGGCGATCGTTTATTATCGTGCTCTTCCTATCCCCCGATCCGGATCATGTCAATCAAGCGCGTAAGCACTGTCGATGTGTAACTGACGGGATGACATGGCGAGATTTTTTGTCTTGATCATCTACTATTGAGCGGAGTCTAGCCCGAATCGTTTTCGGTCTGAAACTCTTCAGGGCTGAGGTTCAGATATTTTTCGGATCATGAAGACAAGAACAAGAAAAAGATTTTTATAGATTCCGTTTTGCCAAAGACTAAACAGCTTCCCCGCAACCGCAGGAAGTTGGGAACTTGCGGTTGAAATGAATGAAGTCGGTCCATCTACAATTCGCCATCCTTCGAATTGGTCGGCAACGGAACGAAATAGTACGAATCGGAATTAGAAAAATTCCGAAGGGAATGTTAGGGCGCACGAGCCTTCGAGTGGGGGTCGCGTAGGCCTAGTTGGTTTATTAGTCGGCGTTGAAGCAGCCATCTTGGGCTGATTTTAATGCCATTTATGAATTACTGTTTTTGAGAAGCTCCTGAACCCAATCGCAATTCCCTTTTCCGAATTCCTAGTGCCGGTCGGGAGCCCCTTCTGATAAAAAGCGAGTCGCTTCCGAGTGGGAATCCTGTTGGAACCGATTGTGCCATTGTGGTGATTTGTTTGACAGATCGGTTACAAATATCGGAATCGATTGCAATTGAGATGGGATTTTCATAATTCTACGCATCCACCTGATGCGAACTGGTTTTCACGTTGTTCGCGTAACTCTCTACTGCCTCGACGAGACTACCGGTAGTGACGACACCGACAAGGCATCCTCGCTGTCATTTCCATCCCTCCTGCAGCTAGCTCATTAACGACCCATTAAAGTCGAGATTTTACGACCGACCGAACCAGATCACTACGCACATTCCCTGGTAGCGGCGTCTGTGTGTGTGTGTGCAATTTTTTTGTGTCATCGCTGTTGGCGATCGCCGCCGCGGCCGCCATCGCTCGGCCTGACTTTCCGCTTTCCAGGGCTCGATCGCATCTCATCTCCAGCGTCATTTCTTCTTCTCACGAAATTCTTCACGATCACATTCCAATCGGTATGATCACCACTAGATCCTGAAGCTCACCAAGGATTCTGTTCGTCTGATGGCCACTTGGCATCGTCTCGAACGCCATCAAACTGAAGGAGTACAATCAGTAATTCCTTGCCGTAAATCCGTTCGATTCCGCTATTTCGACTTCGACGAGGCAGCCAGTGTATTAGAATCTGCTCTGATGTCAGGACCACCGCCACCTCGGGAACATTCTCCCCTACCGCCGGGGTTCTGGGGGAATCTTGGTGATATGCCACTTGTTCGTGGAAGTCCATCGGCACTACCAGTAATAGCAAAGCCACAAAGACCCCGCATGGGTACAGCTGAGTACCAACGGCGCTTCAGTTCAGAATCCATTCGTAGAAGGTCATTAATTGATAAGGTAATTTACTTGTTTGGTACTGATTTAATTGCGTATTTTGATTATTTATACCAAAAATTTTCTATCAAAAGAAATGCTTCGAAAGAATTTATGTTTCGAAAAGTTGGTGAGAGCAGTAAATATGGTATTTTAACTTAATTTCGTTCCCCTGATACGACGGGGTTTTTTTTCATTCGTACTTTCCACATGATGTGAATAGGGTTCTGTTGTTACATTGAAAGACTAAAAGGTATTTGACGGTCAGAAGGCCGTATATGAGGGGTATGGATGACAAAAAACCTTGTAAATAAAACACATCTGGGTTTCCGAAAGCACTATTTGTTGACATTTTGACAGAAATGAACGTTTGTTGCAAAATATGCTCTGGAATGCAGTAACGTACACCTATGACGCGTGCGGTCGCGATGCGGCAGGCCAAATATGTTGCCTTACCGTCACAAAAGTATTTATGCATTAGTGGTTTACGTATTGCATCTGTTTGACCCGAAAATAACAATAAGCCGAGCCGCTCCGCTAATACAAGTGAGGGCGGCGGTTGAGGTGGGAATGCGCCATGCATTCGATTCGCATGCAGATCCATTTTGTCATTTGAATACGTGTTTTGTTTGCGTAGTGCATTTCGGAGCTGTCGGTATACTGGCATTTGGTTTTAGCGATGTAAGCGGGTATGGTAGCAACTGAGCGACCTAACAGAGGTGGAGGTGGATTGGCTGAGCCAAAATTCGATAGGCTATTATTCCTTGGACCGTGTTTTACGTCTCCATTCCATCACTGCTCCATTTCCATCTGCGACTCTTCGACGCTTCGTTCCTGGTGCTAACATTATAGGTGCTAACATTATAGCGCTAATGCTTGAATTTTCTCCTCATTTCCGAGAATTATACGTATTTCGTAGAAAGAGAAAGTAATTGTGTGTCGTAACTAACTCCAGCCCTTACGAAATAAGTCCAAAGGAACGGGTTCAGGTCCTATTACTAGCTATGAACCTATTATCTCATTTTTGAGAATCGCACTCGATTAGTAAGCGAATGTGCTCCTTTTTGAAGAGTTACACTCATGCCTGTGATGAACGATCCCCATAATTCAGGAGATTCTGCAAGCACTCCAGTATACTGGAAAACGATTCGCAGATTGTACCACAATTATTGGCATTGTGATGCTTGTTCAGCTGCAGGTGTTCGTCCGAAAAGACCCTACGAGGGATTTTTTTCCGTACGCCGTCGACTGAACTGTTTTCTGATGACAATATTTTTCATTACGGCCGTGCTATTTCTGTAGTAGTACGGCGAAGTTCTGATGACAATATTTTTCATTACGGCCGTGCTATTTCTGTAGTAGTACGGCGAAGCGCTTGTTGAGTGCTGATTCATATTGATGATGGAACACAACAAACGCACAATAATAGTGAGCCGTTATTTCTGACACTTGCAATAGACGGGTAATTAACCGGATTTCACTACTGTGAGTATAAATCACGTAAATCATTCCCGGACAGGTCATTCCCGTTTTTTCAGTTCCTACCCGTTCATACACTATTACGATCTGGAGTGGGAGTCAGAGCCAGGGGTACGCTTTGCATTGGACTTCCGTCCAGAATTGTGAGGGCGTTTGAGTGCCTGCCTCAGACAGTGAGTGACATGTTGGAGCGACCGACGTCCAAGCAAGTGTTTTTCCCCTTCAAGACCGTACTGTTTCCAATTAGATGACCCTGTATTGATGGAAGTTCAACTTTCAGTTGGCTTAAACCGGTAATGATCCAAGGTTCGATCAGCAGACCATATGTTTGGTTAGCGGTGCAACTCGACCCGACCTCACTTCGTTCTAAAATTTATGAAAGAGCGAATAATTGGAGAACGAGTACTTTCAATGCTTTGGCTTTTGGTAAAACCTCAAACTGGAAAATGAATTTCATACTTGTTCTTTTACATTTACAATTACAATTTCTTTGATAGCATCAAGAAGCAGTTACCAAGGTCCAAGTTCCCACTCATTGTCAGCCACGACAACAATCTGACAACGCTTTTCTTTGCGCTGACCTGTGTTAGGCATTTCTGTGAGGTATAAAGAAAGGGAAGTAGCGAAAAAGGTAAAGGATATTTTTTTGCTATGACCTCCTAATTCTTTATATATTATATGTGCTCTTATGGGGCGGAGGTAGGGTAGTGGCAAGTGGCGTATTATCTCATACGCATGGTCACGGGTGTCAAATCCCGGACCGATATCCGCCTAGGCCAACTAAGCCTTCCATCTTTTTGGGACCGGTCAATCGGTACCTATTCCATCTGGGAGGGTAAGCACTGGCTTGTACATCGGCCGGCCACCGCAAGTCATGGTATAGACCACATGAGTACTCATTACGCCACTACGTCTCTGAATGGAACTCGAATGCAGGGCGCAACCCTCAGACAGGATTGATTAACGCCACAAGAATTAAAGACTAATACTTATGACTTACTAAGACTTCTTACTAATACTTACTTGTCTTAGTTCGATAACAACAAGCTATCTTGGATTGATACAACATTATGTCCGGGAAACTTTAAAAAACCACCGGAACTTCTATTTTCTTATAGAAGTCGAATTACTTTTGGAAAAAAATCCTCAAAGTGTAACTAACCCATCAAGTGGCGTCAGGAATACATTCCAGTAAAGTTTTTCCTTGTATTGGAGTTTTCGTTAATTGTATGGTTTCCATATTTTTCGGAAATTCCGG